TCAACCATGATCTCCAGGATCCCGTGCTAAGTAACTAACGCCAAACGCGATTTCTCACCAATGAGGGCGACAGTTGTCGGTCCTCATTGTCCGCCTCCCCCGCACAGCCGTACGCAAACACCGAGTCTGAGGTCCTTTACGACTCAGGCTTCCCAACAGCTAATCAAACGCACAGCATACAAACGACCAACAGATGACAGCCACGACCGCAGAGCGTCAAGCGGGACCCACTGTCTGGGGATTAAACTAGGGCGTAGCACAACGATCCTGTCGGTGGGCTGACCCGTAAATAACTAGAAACTACAAGGGCATTTACCCAACCCGAAATCAAAGGAAATAAAGGCAACTCGACGACGCTGCCTACAGCTAAAAGCTTAGACATCCTCCCCCGCTCTTTCCTCTCCTTCGCTCAAATCCAAACGCACGCTAAACCAATCAGATCCGAAACCCGACAACCCGGTTCAGATCCGAGACCCGATAGCCCGCTGATGTCGGCGTCGAAGGGGAAGGGGTGGGTCGGGTGGCTGATCGTGCTGCTGGTGCTGGCGCTTGTGGTCACCGCCGTCGTCGTCACCATCACGATGAAGAAGCACAAGGGCTCTTCGGGCCTGGGGCCGGTGCCCGGACCCCCCGGTGAGATCACCGCCAAGTATTCCGATGCTCTCGGCGTCGCTCTGCAGTTCTTCGACGTCCAGAAATGTACGCAGATTTCTTGGAATTTCAGCTGATTCTGTTAGATCTATGTGCATTTTGCCTCTGTGAAGAAGAAGGAGACAACTTTTAGCTTTGTTGGGTTTTCCCATTTTTTTTAAAGCTTAGTTTGTCTTTCTCTATGATTTAATTTCCATTAACATTTTTTTTATTTATAATGTGGCTAATTTGTTGATTTTGGCTAATTTTCTTTCGCTTTTTTCCTTTCTCGATGTTAGATCTACGTGCATTTTGAGTACTAAAAGTGAAGAAGCAAGGGAATTTTTTTAAACCTTTAAATGGGTTTCCCCTTGACTTTTTTTTAAATACAGTTCTCCTTTCTTTTCTCCGCAAATTTGTATTTTCTCATGACATTTCTATGAACATTTTGTTTTTATTTCCTTTTATATCTAATGCAATCTCTTAGTTCCCAAAATTGGCAAAAAAAAGTTTTTTTTTCCCTATTTTCTTGGAATGCTGATCTAACAGTGATTAAATTTGTGTTTTCAGCTGGTAAATTGGTGGACAACAAGATCAAATGGAGAGGGGATTCAGCTCTAAATGATGGGAAGGAAGAAGGACTTGACCTATCGAAAGGAATGTATGATGCTGGAGACCACATGAAGTTCAACTTTCCAATGGCTTTCACCGCGACGGTTCTATCGTGGTCCATATTGGAGTATGGGGATCAGATGGACGCAGTGAATCAGCTGGATTCAGCGAGGGGCTCTCTCAAGTGGATCACTGATTATCTAATCAATTGCCATCCTAAAGATGATTTGCTATATATTCAGGTGAGCCGGGAGGTCTTGAACCCGTTATAAGTTTTTTCCGAGTCAATATAATTTGACTTTGATCACTATTTGTTATAATATGTAGTTTGAGGGGTTCAAGTTCGTAGTATAGAAGTGAAGCATGTTTTAGTTGTAGTCATGTTGCAGTTAAGCAGTTTTGTTTTCTTTCTTTACTTTTGTTAATGCCATTTCTTATTCTCCAATAGTTAGTCAATACCCATCATAGTTGTGGGGTTTTTTTCATCCGCTTTGCAAGCAACCTCTGCCTCACTTTATAATTCGACAATTTGGAGCGTGACAAATTAGGTAACAATAACATGTTAGTTGTATTTCTCTTTTTCCTTCTTGAGGTAGCATGTTCACATTAAATATCAATAGAGGTTCTTTTCGTAGCAACTGATGAATAAGACACCACATAAGTTGGAAGATTCTCTTGCTTGAGCCTCTGGTATGACAATTATTCCCTTTGTAGTTTAGCTACGATTTTATAATCTTGTATTCAAAACGTGCCGTGGCTAATTTCAGAGGTCACACCAGATCAGTAAAAGATGGAAGTGACTGTCTGATGCTATGACTTTGGAGATTCTCTCGCTCCTGCCTCCGATATCACAATTATTCCCTTTGAACTTCTCTGAGATTCTATATCCTTTTTTTAAATGTATCATGGCTCGAATCAGAGGCGACGCCAGGGAAATCAAAGATGTGAAAAACTTGTGGCTGTCTGATCTTTCTTTCCCATCCAGCAGTTTACCGTACGATTTAAGGATATATAGTTAATTTTGATTTCAATGTCAAATATTTACTTTCTAGGAGCTTTAAAATATCATAAAATATTGAATATTTTATACTTATAATTCCTTCATAGAATAATATCATCTTTGATATTTTCACTAATCTCACTCTATATTAATATTAATGGTCTGAAAAATCAATGTTAACATCTCAGTCATAATATTTCACAATACCTTGAGTAGCATTCGTTATTGCTCTAACGAGTTAGTTATGTTAACTTGTGAAAAATAAATTGACAGTTCGTGTGACTTCAATCAGGATATATGTGGCTACCACATACTACTCCCTGCTGAAGCAACAATCATATTTCCACTTGAATAGGCTTTGAAATACATCTCTAACAGCCTGCTTATCTATATCGCTTTTGTTTACAATTACTTTGCCTTATTTTCGTTGATTAGATTATGCACCACTTTTTGGTGTCCCTGTGCCGTGTGATGCTCATTCAAACTTTATGTTCTGGTTAATAGGTTGGTGATCCTGATTTAGATCACAAATGCTGGGAAAGACCGGAAGAAATGACTGAGAAAAGGCCCCTGAAACAGGTTGACGCAAAGACTCCAGGAACAGAAGTCGCTGCAGAAACAGCAGCAGCCATGGCTGCAGCTTCAATGGTCTTCAAATCAGTGGACTCTACCTATTCCGATTCACTTCTCCAGCATGCCCAGAAGCTCTTTACCTTTGCTGATACTCATAAAGGTTCTTATAGTGTCAGCATCCCAGATCTTCAGAAATACTATAACTCTACGGGCTACGAAGATGAACTTCTTTGGGCAGCTACCTGGCTCTATCATGCCATGGCTGCAGCTTCAATGGTCTTCAAATCAGTGGACTCTACCTATTCCGATTCACTTCTCCAGCATGCCCAGAAGCTCTTTACCTTTGCTGATACTCATAAAGGTTCTTATAGTGTCAGCATCCCAGATCTTCAGAAATACTATAACTCTACGGGCTACGAAGATGAACTTCTTTGGGCAGCTACCTGGCTCTATCATGCCACTGGAGACCAGTCATATCTCAGTTATGTAACTGTACAAAATGGAGAAGATTTTGCTGATTGGGGAAGACCAACTTGGTTTAGTTGGGATGATAAGAGAGCAGGAACGCAGGTACACTATATATCTGGCTAGTACTTATATTTTTCTAGTGAACCATATGCCTCGCTAGGGCACACTTTTTAGACAATAATATCACTGCCACAAACCATTGTAATGATACTTTTTGAATTTTGATACATCTGCTGGTCCATTGTAATGATACTTTTTGAATTTTAATACATCTGCCGGTCTGCCATTATTCTTGTTGGAGTTTATTGAAATTTAAGTTGTAATTGTTATTCCACTTGACTTTGGTATATCATCCATGAAACTCAGATAAGCCAAAAGGGTAAACTTTACATAGAACCCTATCTTTTGACCCACTCTGGGATAACCTTTAAAGATGTCATAGAACCCCTGAAACACTTGTAATTTTTTTGACATGTATCCTAACAGGATAATCCTAACAGGATAATCCTAACAGGATAATGGTGATTTTATGAAACTTTATCAAAAGTTCATGGTAGTTTTCTGAAAATAATGTTGAAAGTTTGGATTTTCAGAAAAATTGCAAACATTTAGAGGGGTTTGTAACACGCCCAAAAGTTAGGGGGGTTAGGCAAAATTTTTAAACTTTAAGGGGGCTATCTCAAGATGGGCCAAGAAAAGGATTTTTTTGGGTGGGGGGCGGTAATGTGAAATTACGCCCTTTAGATGATGCATTGAAAGAAAAACTTCCCTAGTGGAGCTGTAAAATTTTACATACCCTACGTTGTTACTGGTATTGCTACTGCTACTATTAATTGATTACTAGTTGAGTGGAGATGCAATAAGGCCTCTTCCTGCTTTTTGCTCATTTCTCTTTCAATCGTTGCACAGGTTCTCTTATCCAGAGTAAACTTTTTCGCCTCCAAGCAAGCTTCAAATGCAGAAAGCAAGGGGCTTCAGATGTACAAGAAAACAGCTGAAGCTGTTATGTGCGGTCTTTTACCAGATTCCCCAACGGCTACTGATAGTAGAACAGATGGTAATACTGGAGCTCCTTTTTTATTTGAAATTTGAAGTATGAGCTGGCACTTATTTCCAAGTCTGTTGCATTCCTTTATTTGAACTTGTTTTCTTCAGGCAGTACAGTACTTCACACTTCTTATAGCAGCAATCCTATGGTTTTAAATCTTTTTTCCTTGATATTTTTTTGGGTTTATTTTTTTGTTTAAAATTGCTGGTTTGATGTGAGTATCAACTGTCAAGATCTACAGTTTTTCTGCTTTCAAGTCCATAAACATAAGTGTGTTGTTCATACATATCAAGTGTCAAGATCTACGGTTTTTCTGCTTTCAAGTCCATAAACATACGTGTGTTGTTCATACCTCTTGAACGCATAGATCATTCATTTACTGAAAGACTGCAATGGTCTCTTTTTTCTTATTTTTTATTTATTTAGTGAAGGCCTACCTGGTTTACTATTTGTATACCTACCTCTAAACCTTGTCATCTATCTTTGCCCAGGTGGTTTAATATGGATTGATCAGTGGAATGCACTTCAGCATCCAGTGGCTGCTTCATTCCTTGCTGTAGTTTACAGTGATTACATGCTTACTTCCCGTACAGAGTCATTTTCATGCAGTGGGTCATCCTATACATCAGAAGATCTCCGCAACTTTGCAAAATCACAGGTCAATACAACTCTTTTTATTTTTTATCTTTTGCTGGTCACTCACAGCTTTAAATGGTACCAGGAACTCCAACTGAGGAAGTTTCCTTTTCTCAGATATTAAAACTAATAATAACTGTTCATTTTATTTCAGATTTGTCGATTCCCAATTTGACAAGTGCCTAGCAAATTTAGAATAATCTTCATACAAACATGTACCTTCTATTTGCATGTGTTATACATGCTGTCCGCAGTTTACAGACACTATATTATATTTCATATAGATTTATACCATCATATTTTTGGTCCTCTTGGATAAAATAAGGACCGGTGATATGATTTATGCAGGTTGTTGCTCCCCTAGATCTGGACTACCTAAAGCCATAGGAAAGGCAAAAGAATTGTAAATTGTTTTAAAGAAATGCACCTAGATGGGTATGATTATGCATGGACTCTCACTGGAATGGGTATTAAGAAAGTTAGCAAGTACTACACAAAAATTTTAGACAGACATTGCCTCAGTTATGTCAACCTATTACAAGGTTTTATGTTTAGATCAATCGTTAATTTCTGAGATAAAAGAAATAGAGGAACTATAAGGAAAACGTTTGATGGTTGATATACTGTGTCGCTGTCCTGCTCTGTGATATCTGATCTCATAAATAGATATTGGCTTGTCCTCTCTTAAGACGTTTTTTTTTCTTCGATTCTCAACGAATCATTTCTTACTTCATGCTAGTGTTACCTGGACATGGATACAGGTGTCAAGTATCCGAGTGTCCTAAAAAATTTGACAAAACAAGTTTTAAACAGAAGAACACAGAGCACTGATATGTGCATTCATATATTAACATGCATGCATGTATTACATACATGCGTACATTATATGCATGTGCATATGCATGTATATATTATCAATCTCATACTTAGAAGCACTAAGATCTCTCTTACACTATTTACTAAGTTGCATTGGTATGGCTACAAAACATGGCAATTTTTAGAAGGTAGGGTATGGGGACAAAACTGAACCACATATGCTGATATCTTAGTTCTAAACTAGATATGTGAACAACCCTTTGAGATCGCAGTACTGAACTGAATATTGCTTGAAACAAACCCAACCTTTGTCCAACAAGTTTTGGAAAGTAGATGAAGCGTAGGGTATTTGTCCAAGGAGTGTATGGCAAGTGATTTAAATTAAAACATGTATTGTATAATTGAGTACTTGTCTGAATAAATGCATGCATATAATCAAGGAGTGTCCAGGAAGTATCCGGTATGTGATATGTCGGGTACAGGTACAACATCTTGGTAGGAGTGCCCATGCAACATAGACTTATTTACTTATTTCATGACCTTAACAGAGTTAAAAATCATGATGTAAATTAGGATACCTGCAACAATTAACATTTGTAACATTTCTGTCTATTCCTTTTATTTATCTTCATTCAAGATCTCTCCCTCCTGTTGCTATGATTGTAGTCTAATTTCCTTTTTCTATTACATTTTACAATATAGAAATATCTGGACATGGATATAGGTGTCTCATGCTTTGCCTTACTAAGTCCAACATGGTAAATTTTTTATATAATGGAGTGTCCCTGTAATATCTCTTCATGCAAGCACAATGCCCTAACGAGGGATTTGCGTACGAACTATTATCCAAAAAAAGGGGAAAAAATCTGATGTTAATCAAAACTTACAGGAGTTCTCATACCAAGCATTATGGACTAATTTCAAAAGAAATTTATATTAGTCCCTTACATCTTTCATATTTTGAAATTAGTCCCTTAAATCATTGAAATTACTATTAGGTCCCGCAATTCTTAAGTTATTTCAGAATTACTCTCTCAAATCATTGAAGTTGGTATTTGGTCCCCCAATTCGCATACATTGTGTTAAATTAATCCTCTAATTGCTACTTCCATTCTTGATTGGAGGGACTAATTTCAAAGCAACTTAAGAATTGGGGAACCTATTAGAAATTCCAATGTTTAAGAGACTAATTTCAAAATAACTTACAAATTGGGAGACCTAATAGCAATTCAATGATTTGAGGGACTAATTCAACATATGAAAGATTTAAGGGACTAGTATCAGGAAAACCCCTTATTTTTGTATATCTCCTCTTTGATCTACATGCCAAAATAACCTAATATTTTTTTCCCTAAACTATCTGATCGTTCTATCAGGCTGACTACATCTTGGGCGACAACCCAATGAAGATGAGCTACCTCATAGGCTACGGTGACAAATACCCACAACAAGTTCACCACAGGGGCGCATCCATCCCTGCCAATGCCAACACAGGCTGCAAGGGCTTCAAGTGGCTAGAATCAAAAGATCCAAACCCTAATGTCGCTATGGGTGCACTTGTGGGTGGCCCTTTCAAGAATGACTCATATATTGACCTGCGAAACAATTCAATGCAAGGCGAACCAACGACTTATAACAGCGCCATTATCGTCGGACTTTTATCTGGCCTCGTGACTACATCTTCGATTGCTCAATCCCTAAGCTAAGTATGTTTTAGGGTTCGGTGGTCTTTGCTTGATTTGCTATTATCTGGCATCGTGACTACATTTTCGGTTGCCCAATCCCTAAGCTGAGCATTTCTTAGGGTTCATTGGTCTTTGATCAATTTGTGATATAATGTGTGTGCAATTCGTTGTATCAATGTGAGCAAGCCTGAATGTTGTGATGCTGTATGTTCTGGTAAGTTCGATTGTTCTGCATTGTGCATATGTAATTTTTTTGCAGATCACATGATTCATGATCTTCTGTTGATTTGTTCGGGCTGTAATTTTTTGGTTTTCATCTTTGTAGGTATAGGAAAGGGGAATGTGTTTGTAATAGAAATGTGATCTTCTCGAGAACTTCTTTAAGGGTACAGTTGATTTTTTACAGTGTGTACTCCATATAATTGCTTGGAAACATTTCAGTAGTATTTCGGCTGAAAATTATGGCCAACTGGTAAACTATTGATTATGATTTTTGTAACGTTGTAAATATTTTCATGTCACTGCATGCCATACAACTCAAATTCATTACGTACTTTGTTTCTAGGACTCTTGGCATTGTGTTAACTAACATTGAGAATAAATTGCAGATAATGCCTTCTTATAGTAGCTACACAGAATACTGTTTTATTTCGCAAATGAAATCCTAATATTATCAGGTGATCCTCTAAAACTTTAAAAACATGAGACGAGAAAATTTCATCTAGGAAAAGAAAGTCAAACAAAGTTCATTCATATGACCATCCAAACAAAAACTTTAATGTCCCCTTAGGGCATTTGAAAAATACCATTCTTTATAATAAGTTGAGAATAACTCTCTGATAAGTTTTGAATAACTCTTATCATTTCCTTAATTTTTTCAGAAAAATGTGATTATGTTATTGAGTCTGATGCTAATTTATTAAGTTTTCTCCATCTATCCTTTGTAAATAATGAAATCAATAATACTGTCATCAATAAATAAGCGTTAATAGTGAATATAGTATCTAAAGGACAAAACTACATATACACACACACATAAGTGCATACATATGTACGTACATACATACATATACATATACATACATACAAACATACATACATACATATGCATCCGTGTGTGCGCGCGCATGTGTATATATGTTCATACATACATATATGTATGTATGTATATGTGTGTGTATATATACACACACACGCAAAGATGCATATATATGTATGCATGTATGTATCTATATGATTGCCGCTCCCCTTCTAGGGTTGAACCGGTCTTGCATATTTTTGTACATGGTATCAGAGCATTAGGATTTTGTTATAATGTTCCCATTCGCCTAAATACAACTTATTGTCAAGTCACGGACAGATGTACTTTCGCAAGCAATGACCCAATCAACTTGGTGGCCTAAGCCTAGCAAGGATTCCGACTTAGTTGACTCGTCGAGCCAATATTCTTCATGTCGACTCGAAAGGCGGTTCCAATCGACCCTCTCGTCGAAGACGACTCGCCAGGAGTCCACTGGACCACTTGTTCAATGCCTCACGAGGACGACTCGATGAACGTTGCTTCTCGGTGAAGCTAAAGGATTGTTTTCGCCTCGAGCTTCTCCCTCTGGCAATGTGTTGCCATCGCATTTAATGCTTGGCAGGTGTCATCATGAATCTAGCCCAGATAGTCTTTATGAGTCATCAGACCACGTAGGGCACCGCCATGCCATCACTCACTTCTCATTTAATGATGAAATGATCCTCCCCTAATCACCAGCTAACACCTGTAGAGCAAGTGTTGACGCGGTCGCCAGCCCATACTTCGCCACCGTCTCTATGCGCTCGACCAAAGTGACCAATCTGCCCTTACCATTTTAGTATAAATACAAGTACTATTTTAACTTGGGTATGATACCTAAATCTGGATTCTAATCCAATTTTTCTAATTCTTCAAAATCATACTGCACACCCACAAGAACTCTCATTGTTCTTATTGACCCCATTCAAGTTCATCAGCTATGATCATCAGAGGTACAATAGGGGAATCAAACCCCACCCTCTTACAAATATCTACGTATGCAGATCATTCAGATACCCAACTGAAGAACCAGACATAAAGTCAGGGAAGAAAGCGACCTCTCATCAATCCTCAACAAACTAGATGTTGGTCAATATATGCTGCCACCGAAAGCACATGGCAGCCCTTTTTTGACAAAACAAAAAAGGCACCGAAAGTTTTCTTTCTTTCGGTGATTGAATGACAGGAGAGGAGAAAAATATGCAGACGGACCCCACCGCGGGTCCCATCACTAATAAAATATTAGTGCATAGTGTTTTTTCAAACACTATAAATAAACCTCAAACTCTTAAGAAAATCCCATCCCAGAAACAACTCCTCTTATAGAAGAATAAGAGAGAGAAATCAAAGGCTTAGAGCAAAAAGTCTTAGTGAGAAAATTGAGAGAAATTTTCTGAGTGAAACTAGGAGTGTGAGAAATTTGTGAGTGTTTGTAAAATTTCTTCCAAATAGTGAAAGATCTGCAGCAGCCCGTGGACGTAGGCAATTTTGTGCCGAACCACATAAATCTTGCGTGTTCCCTAATTTTACGTATTTTATTTTCGCTCTCTCTTAAATCTGGCACTAGGGAAATCAAGGTAATTTCCAACAACTGGTATCAGAGCTCTGGTTGTGATGTCTGTCAAATTTCTGTAAGGTTACTATTCATGTGAATAGTAAATTTTGTGAATAGTGGAATTTTGCCGGGGGTACTGACTTGTCGGCAGAGGTGTCTTAATACACGGTGGTTCGCAGAAATTATCAGAAACGATCCAGAGGAAGTCAGATTCGAGTGGGAACGATGGCTGCAGACGAAGGGAAGGTAAAAATTGAGAAGTTCGATGGTGCGGACTTTGGCTTTTGGAAAATGTAGATCAAAGATTATCTATACCAAAAGAAGCTATATCAACCTCTCTCGAGAAAGAAGCCAGATGATATGAAGGATGAAGAGTGGGCTCTCCTCGACAGACAAGCCCTTGGAGTTATCCGATTGACGCTATCCCGCAACGTTGCCTTCAACATAGCAAAGGAAAAGACCACGGCGGGGTTTTATGGTGGCTCTCTGCAGCATGTACGAGAAGCCCTCTGCCTCAAACAAAGTTTACTTGATGAGGCGGCTGTTCAATTGCGAATGACGGAAGGCGCATCGACAGCTCAACATCTCAATGAACGCAACATAGTCATAACCCAGTTGAGTTCAGTTGGGATTAAATTTGATGAAGAAGTACGAGCATTGATACTACTTTCTTCTCTACCAGAAAGCTGGAACGCTACAGTCACGACTGTGAGTAACTCATCGGGAAGCAACAAGTTGAAGTTCGATGACGTTCGTGATCTGATTCTTAGTGAAGAAATTCGGCGAAGAGAATCAGGTGAAGCCTCAACCTCCTCAGCTTTACACACGGAGTCTAAGGGAAGAACTTCAGAAAGAAGTTCAAATCACGGCAGATCAAAATCTAGAAGGAGCAAATCTAGATCAGGAAAGAAAGACTTCAAGTGCTACAATTGTGGCAAGAAGGGTCATTTCAAGAGGGAGTGTCGGGCACCGAAGAAAAACACCGGCGCACAGGAGTCTGCCAACGTGACCGAGGAAGGAGGTGATGCTATGATTCTAAGCGTCAACAGTCCGATTGAATCATGGATTCTTGATTCAGGGGCATCTTTTCATTCCACTCCATGCCGAGAAATCATGGAGAACTACATCAGCGGTGATTTCAGAAAGGTACATCTAGCAGATGATGAAACCTTGAAGATTGTTGGCAATGGAGACATCCGATTAAAATTGCCAAATCAGACCACATGGAAGCTGCAAGGAGTGAGACATATTCCTGGTCTTAGAAGAAATTTGATCTCTGTGGGACAGCTTGATGGAGAGGGTTATTGTACAACCTTCTCGGGTCATGAATGGAAGATTACCAAAGGAGCACTCATCATTGCTCGAGGTAAGAAAAGTGGTACTCTCTATATAACCTCTAACTTAGAGAATATCATTGCAGTAACAGATACAGATGAAAAATTAAACCTATGGCACCAAAGGCTTGGCCATATGAGCGAGAAAGGGATGAAGACACTTCTGTCAAAAGGGAAGCTACTGGATCTGAAGAATGTAGATGTCGGCCTATGTGAGGATTGCATATTTGGCAAACAGAAGAAAGTCAGTTTTGCAAAGATTAGCAAGACACCCAAGACAGAAAGGTTAGAATTGATTCATACCGACGTATGGGGACCATCTCTAATTTCATCTCTTGCGGGCTCACTGTACTATGTCACCTTCATTGATGATTCTACAAGGAATGTGTGTGTTTATTTTCTAAAGAAGAAATCAGAAGTCTTTGATACCTTCAGAAAATGGAAGGCCATGGTGGAAAATAAAACTGGTTTGAAGATAAAGTGGTTGAGGTCAGACAACAGAGGAGAGTACAAAGACAGTAGATTCAAAGAGTTTTGCGCAAACAGTGGGATCAAGATGGAGAAAACAGTTCCCATGACACCGCAGCAGAATGGCGTAGCGGAGCGCATGAACAGAACTTTGAATAAACATGCCAGAAGCATGAGGTTACATGCCGGCTTGCCCAAGTTCCTATGGGCTGAAGCTATCAATACCGCAGCCTACCTAATCAATCGCGGACCCTCAGTTCCCTTGGATGGTGGAATACCGGAAGAAGCTTGGAGCAGAAAAGAGGTAAACCTTTCACATTTAAGAAATTTTGGTTGTATCTCTTATGTATACATAGATTCTGCTGAAAGAAGTAAACTTGATGCCAAATCTAACAAATGTATTTTTGTTGGTTATGGTGGTGATGAGTTTGGTTACCGATTTTGGGATTATGAAAATCGGAAGATCATCAGAAGCAGAGATGTCATATTCAATGAGAATGTGATGTACAAAGATAGATCAACTGCAGAATCAAGTAGCTCCAGTACAAAAGCTGAAACAAAGGAATTTGCTGAATTTGAGGAGATTTCTGAAAAAGATGTTCAGACTAGCCCTGAAGCAATTCAAGAAGAACCAAGCACGCCAGAAGTGAGACGCTCCTCCAGAATTCCTAAGCCAACCCAGCGTTATTCGCCTTCTTTGCACTACGTGTTGCTGACTGACAGTGGTGAACCGGAGTATTATGACGAAGCAATACAATTGAAGGAGTCAGTCAAGTAGGAGTCTGCTATGTAAGATGAGATGGACTCGCTCATGTCAAATCAGACATGGGACTTAGCTAAATTACCACAAGGTAAGAAAGCTCTTCATAACAAATAGATTTACATGATCAAAGAAGAACATGATGGGAACAAGCGCTACAAGGCAAGGTTGGTTGTCAAAGGCTTTCAGCAAAAGGAAGGTATTGACTATAATGAAAATTTCTCCCCGGTAGTGAAACTGACTACAATCAGACTGGTGTTAAAAATTGTAGTTGTTGAGAATTTACATCTTGAGCAGTTAGATATAAAAA